GTAGTGTGTTCGTCTACCGGCTACACGTGAACGGGCTTGTTCATCCTCGTGTCCCGCTGACGCCACCATCCCGTGGCTCCGGGCTTGGTGGGGGGAGGAATAGCCAAGCGGCTAGCTGATTTTAGTCTCCTTCCTCACTGTTCGTAAAGTAGTCGATGACATTCTGCCTACCAGACTGAGTGTCTTACGACATGTTCGCAATGCGATGGCTGATAGCCAAGACGTGCAGAAAGAGCATGCAAATAGAAGAAGCAGAAGAAATGTTGAAAGCTGTGAGTTCGAAGACCTAGTTGAATTTAATACGAAAATACTTCCTACACATGCGATTTCTGCTGTCTTGAAGACGAAGCTCTGTCCACGGTTTATCTGGCCTTTTAAGGTCGTGGCCAAGCTGGGCCCTGTGTATACGCTAAACCATCCGAGAAGGATGCGCACCCACCCGGTGGTTAAATGGGCTTGCTTAAGCATTACCGTGATCCGGTGCAAGTGAGCGCGGAAGCGTTGGCGTCGGGGCGGCACCCACAGGCACTCGACCGCCCAGAAGCTGGACCAGCAATTGATTTTGAGCACGGAATGAAGCAGTTTTCATCTTTAACAAAGCCAGGCGGTCCACCGTCGCACGAAGTGATGCGTTCGTCTGCTCGACAGCTAGAAGTCGCTCCGACAAATTGCGATAGCCTTCAACGTGAGGCGGCCGGTGCACAACGTGCTCCAAGTTCTCTAAGTCTTCTGCACAGCGGTCTGCGACCAAGTGTGATTTTTAGCGGAGTCTTGATCGCGACGGACCTTGTCCTCAAGATCTCGAAGAGCATCGCGAGTCGATCAACCAAGTCGTCATCGTCCGCAGCCGACTCTTCTCGACGAGAAACGGTGGCGTTTACTATCACGTGGAACGTCTTGTGGATGGACGTCGCCGCCAGATCAAACTCATTATCTTGTGAAGTGGCGGGGATACCCACACTCCGAGAACTTTTGGGAGTTTGAGGTGCCACTTAGGCAAGACTGCCCAGAAGTCATGGATGCTTATGATCAGAGGGATGATGACGTTCCGCGTCGTCATACGCCCGCGCTTCTCGGCAATAGCCAGCCTGTAAGCTGAATTCAAGCTATGACTTCGAGCTGCTGTGATCGCAGACTCATCCGTGTGAGAGACGCAGAGTTCGCGGGAGCGTGATGGATGAATCCATACGTCGCAAGGCGACAAAACGAAGGAAGTCGGCAATGCGCCTTGTGTCTGGCATACTCAAACCGAAGATGGCGTTTCACGCGTACATCCACCTCCAGGTGGCTCCGCTGTAAGTTGGACATCGCGGAAAGTTTCCGGTGCCGCTGCGCCCATCGCTCAAAGAGCTCTTCGTCATCTGCAACATTTTGTCAAGGTCGATGTAACGGGGTTACATATACCCTGGTAACAGGGGTGTGTCACATCAGATGGGCATGGTGTGACCACGCCAAACAAGATTACGGTACGTAGATGGATAGGCAGTAGTTATACATGTATTTAGATTTTACTATACATATTTAGGAAAATCTACGCATTTAAAATTAGGCGGCTTTGCCGCAGATAAAAATAAAAGAGGCAGTTTTTGAATTTAAACGGAAGAGTTGATTAGCCTTGGGTTAAGGTTGTAATTACTATTAAATTTAGCGGATTGCGATTTGCTAACTCGTACTGGTTCTAAGTATTGAGCGAAGGTCGGTGACCTAAGTTACGCTTCCTCTGCGCAAAGCTACGGCAGCCCCGCTGCAGTCGAGCACCACATAGGGTCGAGCACCACAGAATAGACTGCATCGCGGGCACATAAGCACCTCCTCTCGCAAATGCGAGTATTGGGATTTCTTGAGGTACCAAGAAGTGAGCTCGGAGATTTATTCGTTGGTCAAGCTCAGCTTGTGTAGTGTCCGGGGGCTTGACAACGTACACGCCTACCATTCGCTTCAGTAGCGGGATCCGCCGAGCGGAAGCCGGATTCCACACGAGAGTCTAGGACCGACCGTGGATCCGAGCGCTTGAGAGACGCCCTGTGGGCAGCCTCCAGCTGCTGCCTCTGTACCTCGTCGAGTTGATTGGTAATGCTACCACTCCCCCCGGAAGTCGAGAGGTCGGGAAACGGGCACGGTGTCCGCAAGGTTCTAGCAGGGCTCACGTCGCGCCGCTGGGGCACCTTGCCCTCCTCTTCTTCCCATTTTGGAAAAGGAGTATCCGACTCGTAGTCGACTTCCTCCACGAGATTATCCGTCGCCCGTGGCGGGCGCATTGCTCGGTTGCCGAGGGCTCGAGATGCGCTTCCCTTGAAGCCACAGACGTGCTGTCCGAAGTTGAACCCCGTGCAGGAGAGGAGGGAGCGCAAGACGCTCGCTTGTCATATCTAAAGAGCTACGACGATAAGGAAACAGGGAGGCTGGGTTTCTTTCGTGTCCTAAACACAGGATTCGATTGCGTGCAGACGTCCCTGGAGATGTAGAGGTGTAGTGGTTTATCTTAATAGCAAACGATATGTCTGCTTAGATACGGGAGCCTCGTACGATGCGACAGCTAGATGTGCTCACAATTCTGATGGGGCGAGTGTAACGGGATTACACGTACCTTGGCATGAAGGGGTGGATCTCACAAGATGGTGTGGCTATATATTTACACGAAGTCACTACGTGGCTGGACTGCCAGTAGTTATGCAGTTTGATTAGGGTTTCCTATTTAATTGGGAAAACGTATAAGGCGGCTTTGCCGCAAATAAATCCAGGAATTACACTTCACATTTTCAACGGAAGAGCTTGGTTGCCTTGGTTACGGTTGTGGTTACTCCTGATTGCGATCCGCTACATTCCGTACTGGTTCTGAGTATAGAAGGAAGGTCACCGACCATAGCTTAGCTTCCTCTAAGCAATATAGCTACGGCAGCCGCACTGCAGGCACGATATCTATGAGGCGCTATGATGGCTAACATCCCGGATAATGAATGTGTGGAGAATTTTGAAAAACAAGATTACGAAGTCGAAAAATTTATACGAGTTCATTAATTTATATCAAGTGGACGACGGCTTATGCAAAATTGTAAAGTAATGCAAACTGAAATAGCGAGTTATACAGAGATGCGGAAGGTTTGCAAGCATACACTATGATTTCAGCATGTGCTTAGACTCATCGCAGAAAACAAATGACAGTAGTAGCAGTAGAACGAGCTAAAATAGCGAATGACACATTTGGGACCAACTATTCACTTACCACCCTTGGTGTTGAATAATGTGTATATCAATCAGCACGATAGTTTAATGGTCTTATTTGGTATTTGGAAGCATCCTAAGTTGTTAAGTTATATTATCGAACCAAAACAAATCTGGATTATTTTTCTCAGCTCAGATCTATAATAGCTAGCTACGCATGCTGTGGCGTTGGATTTGAACGCGTGCTGCGAATGGTAGTAAAAAAATTATAGTACAGACATTGGAAGCAACCAATATATTATTGTGGAAGCGTAAATTAGCTCCAGAAGATGAACAGGTTATCTACGACTACACTTTTAAGCTTTGTTGATTCTTCATCGCCTTTATAGATATGATAACAAATCGTCTGATAATTATAAAATCGCGAAGCACTCACCATATTCAAGCTTTTAGTGATGTAGACCTTTCCGTGCAACTTTGAAGTTCTCGACGTCAAGATCGGCCAAGGTACTGTGAAGTGGCACTTGTAGGGAAAGAAACAAGAAGGCAAGCAGTTGCAAGCTCACGGCAATCAGTGCAAGAGCTGCAACATCATAGTATCGATTGGCGTAGTCCATTCCGAGTGTTTTAAGATACACCTCTCCATAAACAGGGATGGCCGGATATCCAGGAGCATCAAACTTCAAGATTAAACCCTTTAACTCGTTAGTCATGAGGATCTCAAAAGCATAGCTGAAAATAGACAGGTGCTTCAGCCATCCCACAGACGTAGGTATAGTTTGCGAGTTGAGCAGAAATCCACCAAAAAGCAACATCACGAGGAAGACGACTGTCGCACTAAGATTGGCAGTACCAACACGACTTGAAATAACGCCTACGAGAAGACAAATAGCACCAGCTGCAACATTGAACAGCACCAACGTGAGTGAAAACAACAGGAAGCGTTCTGTTGTGGCTTGAAGGCCCATGATACAGTAAAAAATGCAAGCAAACAACGATGCAGGAAAGATCCGCAGCAGTAACGTGTCCAATATAGCCTTTCCAAGAAAAAAACTACCTGCGCCATAGTACATAGCACCGATTTCCCGAAGAAAGATTGGGCGCTCACTGATAAACAAATCCATAGAGCTCATACTCGAAAACCCGAAAAACGTAAGGATGAAGTAAAATGCACCCATGCGGTTTTGAAATCCTGCGAGGTCATTGGTCACGTGATTGAAGATCAGTCCGCCAAAACAAGCTAGTGACAAACTTAGGGCAATGTGCAGCAAAAATAATGATCGATCTCGAACGATGTTTCGCAACGTGCGTGCAAACACCACGCGTATCTCAACCAGTATCGATCGATGTGACTTCACAATATCACCATCGATCTCGTCCATTGTGATATGGGTATGGGGACGTAAAGTTTGCGTGCTTTGTGCCGCTTCAATTCTCATCGCATTAAGTTCCTTTAGCTTATCTTCTCCAATCTGCCAGCCAAATGCATTTCCTGATTGCGACACGCTAAGTACTGAATTCTCTGTCATTAATGGTGATGACTCTGCCTTCGTTGATGGGCTGTAGAGTGTCGATGGCAAGGTCTGACTTTGCGAAAGTGTGTAAGCTTCTGAGCGCGCTGAAGTTAAATTGATCGAATCCAGAAGGTCTTGTTTCATGCGCGTCCGTATCATTTTATGATTTTTTTTGTCGGACGCGATGTCAAGAATATAGTCAGCAATGTTCTCATTCTGACGTACAACGCATACACCCAGCTATTAGCGACCGAGCCAAGGAAATGTACATTGACAGAAAAAAATCTTCATTACTTACCTCAGAGCACCTGAAGCCTAGATCTTGAAAAAAGTTCTTTGATTCAGCTGGTGCGCCACTGTAAAGTACTTTACCCTTTCCAAGCAGCATAATCTTATCAAAAAGAAAAAATGAGCGTGCGCTCGGCTGATGAATACTGAGAATTACAATGCGCCCGTGACCTGCCAGCTGTTTGACGAGTTGCACAACATAGTGAGCAGAAGAACTGTCGAGGCCGGACGTGGGTTCATCCAGAATAAGTATCTGAGGTGATATTACAAGCT